CCTTCAAAGTGACGATCCGTCTGTTGCCTCAAGGCACAAACACTTACGAGGGCTAAATCGCGTAAGTTAGATCGAATAATGACCGAATAATTGGATCCAGGATCCCAACGCACTTCAGTGCCGACAAAAGTAAAGATTTGAAATCGATATTATTTCGATAACATTATCTTTGATGCTATAGATACAGAAAAATATACTCGCATTTCCGTGACTTTAAAAATATTAGTTATTTTTTTATATCTATAACATCAATGTATGAGAATTCATCGAGATTATATCGGTCCCTAGACGAAAACGCATAGCTGTGCTCAAAATTCAAGTTTAAAACAGATCAAAGTTATTAAAAATTGTTGATATGTACATTATTTTATATTTGTAATATTATATTTTCAAATTAAATTAATATTTTATCATAAATTTCTAATTTTATTATTTTGAATCGCAAATTTTTAGAAAGTATTGCTAAAATTTTATTTCGTATTATCTTTGTGTTTCAGCAAAATATTTGCTAATTAGAATACCGTAATAATATTCATTATTTATATATATGAGACTAAATATTATAAAACAACTTTCGCCAGTAAAATATTTTAAATCTTAAAATATAATAGCGGTATTAATATATATCAAATAAAAGTAAAAAAAAAAGGTATAAAGTATCAATGAAAGCACAGTTCCACGTATTTCGCCGTTAATCGCATTTTCGCAGAGGCGGCTCTACTGTAAGACAGATTACCCAGAGTTTCGTATATGTGCAAAAGTCTCATGTTAGACAGTAAACACTCATGTTAAGGACTTAGACGCATAAGCGAGACCTCTGGATGTTCGAAGGCCTCGAGTACGCAAGCTTCACGAGACCGCAACAAATACTCTCGTCGAAGGCTTTCGGCATGTGCAAAGTACACGAGAAACGCCCTCGCCAAAATCCTCGCACGTGCTAAGACCTTTCTCAAACCATCGTTTTCGCCGTGTGATGCCACGAAAACAAACGCCGATAAATTTTCGAACTTGCTTGCGAACATCTCGTCCAGAACCTCGTCCGCTCCAAATAGAGTCGCCCCCCGCGTCTTTTGCAGCGGTCTATCGTAGCATAAAGTGAAACCTACTTCGATCCAGAGATTTGTAAAGCCCACCTCGGCCATTTTTGACTTTGCATATTCGATTCGTATCGCTCCCCGGTCGGAGGAGAGGAGAAAGGATCCTTGGAGAGTGGCCATCGCCTGGGCCGCGTAGCGAACGTCTTGGTATTCGACAAAGGCCACTGGCGACCCTCCCTTCGTGTGCATACGAAGCCGGGAGAAACCAGGAAAACTGTGCACAAATAAGAGAAGCGTACAATACGTGCTCTAGTTAGTCGTAAAGACAGTACTTTGGTAAAGGGGGAATTTCAAGGGGTTTGGCGGAGGTCTTGGTTACTGCTTGGTTGCCATTAATGGGTGTCGGTGGTGTCAGGCGGTGCCGACATGGGGTGATTACACGGAGGAGATGCGACACAAACTTAGAATCAAATTGAGATCGTTAATAGCTGTGAATTATTTACCTTAGCGTACATGTGCGTAAATTATTTTAAGGAATTTAACGTGTATACATCACGTTACATATAATATACACGTATAATCGTATGTAAAGAGAAGGTATTCGAAATTACATAATAAAGTATATTGTACAATTATTACATTTTGCAAACAATGTTTCTTTAAATATATCGAAAAAATAATTGAAATGATTTTTTAAATGTAATCAGAAAATTGTGAGAAAAATACGCCTTTATGATAAATTTGTCTATCTCTTATTATTTAGTTGAGATTTTTATATCTTCTTATTCTATTTCGCACTACGTTGTCCCTTCTAGCTTAATTCTTTTTTGTATTGGATTCATAGTGCATTCATAAATTTGCGATTAATTGATAGTTTGCGACAATAGAGACATTACCTCCCTCCGTGCAAACCCGTTCAGCACACCGACAATTAGTAAACGGTACTGGTCGCATGGTATTGGTATTGGTACGGGTACTAGTACAGGTGCGTCCTATATGCCTACAATCTACGACGGTGGCAAATGATTAGCGAATGTCGGTGATGTTTGGAGGCGGTGCTGTTAGTACAAAGCTTTCGGCATTTACGACGGACTTGCGAATTTCGACCGTCGTTACACCCTCGGGACAACGATTAAATTTAGGTGCAGATACTTGACGCTTCGTCATTTCCTTGTTACTCTATAATTACTATGGTCATTAATTTAACTCGCTTGTTTATTCACAAATACATAACAAAACTAAACACATAAATCCAGAATTTACAAATCTAAAAATTCACAAATGAACTTATATACATCTTATTATATAGATCTATAAGAATACGCATATAAATCTACAAATTTATAGATTCAAGAATTACTTTGTAATTCTAGAAGTTTACTTATGTGATATATCCTTTAATTAATTTAAAACTTGTTTGAAAAAATTAGAAATAAACATTCCTAAAGTCAAACTTTCAAACTTTTACTTAAAATTAATTAAACATCTGAATTTATAATTAGTGATTAAATATAATAATTAATTAAATATAATAATTAATCACATATTAATGAATTAAGATTGTGATTTCTAAGAAATCAAGAATTTAAAGTTTTGCAAAATCAATAAGAAGTTAAATCTTAGATTAAAAAAATAATCTTATACAAAAGTCAATTTCTAGTTATCTTTTACTAATTGTCAATTATTAGTTCAGAGCATTTTCATAAGCTTATTGCAGTATACGTCCTAGCTTTAGAAATTTTTGCAAAATCACTTTTTATTTCGACAAATGTACTTTTGCTGAAGCCTACTAACACGAAATAATTACCCGTACAAGAACAACGGTTGAATTACATGCGACAAGTACTGTATTCACGTTGTCGACGACGAAATTCCGTCGAATACTCCCGCGAGCTACCGAAAATTGCAGAATGCGCAGCGCGCCTCTCGCACGTGCAAACGCGTGTAATTAACTCAGGCACTCACTTACGAATTCATACTGCAGAACTCTGGGGTTTGCGGGATAATGAGATTTCGCGGGCTAATTATACGAAGGGAGGAAGAGCTTCTCTATTGGCGACGGAACTTGTGAGACAGTCGCGCGCAGACTTCCGTCAGCGACGAAACTCGAAAGAGCAAATCGCGTTTTCTGATCGCTATTCGTACATTGTATGTCGAGAAAATTCTTATCAGCGATTTTTAATATCTAAGTGAAAATTTTCTATCTCGATTACTCATTATTACAAAATCTCTAATGTTTAAAAAAGAGTATTATAAAAATAAAATGTTTATAAACAAAGAATATAAATTTAAATCAACAGAAAAGATCAAAATAAATATTTTCTGCTGCAAATCATGATAATGCCATATAGTTATCTCACAAATTAATTAATACTAAATAATTAATAAGTGATAATTAAAGATCTTTGCTTCTTTTTATATAAAATAAAATAAAATAGTAAGTAAAATAAAGCATAGTAATAGTAGAAATAATAGTAATAGTAAAATAGTAAGTAAAATAAAAAACAGCAAATAAAATAAAATTATTTGCTAGAAATAATTGTATTATAAAAAGTGTGTGTGTGTGTGTGTGTGTGTGTGTGTGTGTGTGG